ACGCTATATACGATTGAACATCATTTATTTATGTATATTGACAACCTTCCTTCTAAATATTAATAATAAAGAGCATTCAATAAGAATAAATACTTATCATATAATAATTTGCGCAAAGAAGCTAATGAGATAACATCATGATACATAGTTTTAATTACATAAGACATTTAGTTCATTTTTATTCAACTGACTAGACCGCACATTGTTGCAACCTATTTAAAAATCTTTAGCTGCCATGGATTTTTCGCTCAGGTAACACAGTATGGATGTTGCCAAGTTATTGATAGCTATGTAACAATAAGTTTTAACAGACATTTACGATCTTTGTACATATTATTTAGAAGTAAAAACTTGTGAATGTAAATTTTTTATATGTTTCAATGCAAATCACAAAAATGTACCAAACGAATAGATTGAAGTTTTTAAAAAGTCCCATCTAAATAATATGTACAACTTATGGCAACACCATTTTTAATATATTTTGTGCAGAAACAACTTTTAAATTTAGATCGAATATTAATAATGTAAAAGTACAATAAATTTGGCTTTATATTGAGCTATATAAAACAAAATATTTAAGCTCATAATAATAACAAATATTTTTAGATACTAAATTTAATTTAGGCCAACATCATTAAATAGAATCGAAGTGTAATTCATAACTTTCGAATAGAAATAGACAATATGTACGTTAATAACATTTTCAATCGAATTGTATGACAATAGAGTATATTTTTGATTAATTTAAGTATAATATAAATACATACTTTGTTAAATGAATATTTTGTGATTTAATCATGCACATTTATAATGATTTACGTAATATTATTTTGTATATTTTTACGGACACCCTGAAATGTTGGTCGATGATGAAATTTGTTTAACAAGAGTATACTACAAATTATTATTTTCATAACAATACATTTTTTTATAGTAGACAGTGAAATAATTTGTATTCTTGAGTATTATGATGTATAGTCAAAGAAACTACTTTTTATTTAAATAGTTCACACAATGCTAATGTAGATGGCGCTGGATTGCAACATTTTATAATCTGTGTGACATGCGTTTACGAAGATAGTAACGCATTTATGTTTGCTTTTTTTTATATACTCAGCCGTCTATTTAGTATACAGAATTTCTTATTTTATATTAGAAGAATAATAGTACCGTATAACAGAGAATTAGATTATTTAGAATGCTTATTTTTTACTATATATCAGTTTAATATCATACTCGATCGTTGACTAGAAAAATATTGCTCTGTTTTATAAGTACGAACGCATTTTTAAATGTATTTGTCTAATGTTATGTATATTTAGGCCTGATTGCGTTTAATACGTCTAGCGGTGGAAAATAAATGAATTAGGGCCAATTTTTCAATCAACAGATAATTCTTAACTGTATAATAAAATTGACATTAGACATAATGGAAGAATTGTCAAATATTCAAAATTATTGTTCCGATAACATGTATCAGGCGTTGGAAAAATCAGCCCTTAATTATGAATAGGGATGATGACAAGGTATGACAATTAAAAATCTAATTAGTCCGTCAGTTAGGTAATGAAAAAATATTAAACACGCATTTTTTATTTTGTCGTATTATAAAATGGAACTTATAGATATAACGAATCAAAGTTTAGGAGTGGGGGCTAAAACGTCATTCCTACGTATAAAATGTACATAGAAGTGACGTCACGCGACATTTCAAATCAATATATCGTCAAAAGTATTCATTTCTGTAAAAAAAATAAAAAATATGTGTGTAATGTTTTAAAAGAATCTACCAGACGGACGTTAAAATAAAAATTAGTCATCTGCCCTATTGCATTAAATTGTCATGAACCTCTTTAACAACACAATTGATAAGGATACATAATATAAATACTAGATAATTAAACGGTTTCATAAACATAATACCACAATTATTTGATATACTTACTTAAATATTACGATATACAAAACGCAGTCGTATTTAGGTAGTTAACACAATGGGGCATACATTACAAAAGCCTTGGCACAGAGTATAATAATCGACATAAATCAATTATTTAAATAATATCATTTATGACCAAAGATAGTGTGATAATGGAAATATATACCGTATATCCCCAAGCGGTCACCGGTGACCGCTCTCCACTAACTACATTATAGACCTTATTTCCAATGTTTAGAGACTACTTTTGTATGAACAAAGGACATCAACCACTTAGGTGGACAATACCATACCACAGACATGATATGAGCGCAGCAACCTACAGTCCTCCGGCCGACTATGCAGTTGCAGCTATCTTTTTTAATCGTTTTTATTATTATTTACTTTGACACTCCCGAACAGAGACTATGTTTAGTAAATATTATTACTAAATTATGTATAAATTCCTTTTTTTCCAATACGGTTGTTCAACACTTAGCCCATTTTGGTTGAAGTCCTTTAGGGGATGATTTTCAACAATTAGTAACAGGTTAAGCTATTTATCCGAATTCAAACCGCAGTATCCACTAGTCTAATTTACTCTTTTATGGCATAGGGGATGTTAAGCAATCGGCACCGCTCATGGACAATATCAGAGCAATATATACAAGTAAGTGCATTGCTGGGCTTTACAAAAGGAGATTTTGTTTATGAGAGGCGGTGACATACAATGTAACTTTTATATTTAATGTGAGTCCCAAATATGAATGGCGACAATATCACGCCACAAGCAATTCTAGAATATTTGACTAACAGAAGTTAATACCCCACTCATTCCATTACCCCACTATCTTCAGTTGCTCGAAATCTAGTTACAAACAAATACAAAATATAACTAGACATAGGAATACTTCCACCGAGTCCCTATTGTAATTCTCGATCGTTTAGGCCAAATGTTTAATGTATAAATGCATAGAAGCCCTGCAGACGGTAAGACATTGATAGAACAGTAAGCAAACAAGCAATATGCTTGCAAGAATGTGTAAGAGCTTATTGAAAAACTAAATATTGGCCATCTATTGACTTACTAAGAGTACATATGCCTGTTTTACTGTACTGGTAATTGCTGAAATAAATTAGATTCGTCTGCAAAGGCTTTTATACAAGATGTCCTATAACAACATAATATTGAGGTACAGTATTTTAAATTCAGTAAAATAGCCAATTTCATAAAAAGAAACCTTCATTTTTATAATGTTTAAATCAAAGAGGAGATATTTAAAAATCAACAAATGTATTTCGATTTGTTTTTAAGGCTAAATAAAGTTTTCGTTCGCTACAATAGGGATGATGACAGGGTATGAAAATTAAAAATCTAATTAGTCCGTCAGTCAGGTAATAAAAAAATATTAGACACGTATTTTTTGATATAATAAAATGATACTTAGATATAACGAATCAAAGTTTAGGAGTGGGGACTAAAACGTCATTTCTACGTATAAAATCTACATAGAAGTGACGTCACATGACATTTCAAATCAATATATCGTCGAAAGTATTTATTTGTGTAAAAAAAGTACGTGTGTAATGTTTTAAAATAATCTCACAAATCAGACGGACATTAAAAAAAAAATTAGGCATCTACCCTATTGTCTGTCTATGGTATTTCCGGTATTTTCCCTCTATATGTTGCATTATAGGACACCCTGTATACGAGGTATGTTAGATAAATATATGCAAACACTGGATCGGACTTACTGTTAAAGCATTACTAATTGACTGCATGAGCATATTGCTATTAGGAATCCTGATATCTTTGGTGAAAAACGTACCTATTAAAAGTAAATTTAAAACTTGCGTGCAATGTTGATGATGATTTCTGTGACTTTTGTCGGAATACTGAAACGTTACTCAATTTTAAAGTCGTGCTTAAATATCGTGCCATCTCTGTCATTTTACAAAGAATTTGTAGACACAGAACTATACTTAAGCACGACTTAAAATTGAGAAGCGTTTGAGTATTCCGACATTTGTCTCATAAAGGTCGCGAATTTATTTTGTGTTTCTCACTTATTGCTTATTTGAAACACTTTCTTTATATATTTTTTAAAATAAAATCCTTATGTTCCTATGTTAATAAAATGTAACTTAAAACATTAATGTGACGTAAAATAATGTGTAAATGCAGTGTAAATACTGTTTTTTTTTAATATGAGACGAACTAGGTTTTAGTATATTAATTAATTAAGTGATTTCGTTTAAATCTAAGACAGTAATCTCAGAAGAATATTTGACTTATACTTAGTAATAGAATTCAATGAGTACTTTTGAAGATTTGTAAAATTATTTCTATTATCTATTGCATTGTTTCGTTCTGTGCAAATACAAGTTGCCATGCAAATTATATTCTAATTGTGCAACATTATAACTACAATAATAAAGATACATTCTGCAAAGCAAGTTCAAAATTCATTTCAAAATTCCCTAAACACCATTCACGTGAACATTTTTACGTATATTAATTGCATTTTTTTGATACTATACGACATCATATTTCTTGAAAGTTTTTAATGAAGGAATGATTCATTTTTGGTTTAATTAATCTTACAAGGATAATGTCATTAGCTGTTGAACTAAGAATATGTTTTAGGCGCACATCGTTATCAAAGACAATCTAAAATATTTGTAATTTTTCACTTTTAACATGCAACCCTTAACAACACTAAACATCATATCATAAACGACAAGCTAATATGAATCGTAAGTTCGATACCATAGAATTCAATTTCGTCAAATCTCCTCTACCAATAGCACAGCCAAACCAAGCGTCTCCCAACGATAATCTGAACACAGTTTTTTTCATCGAGATTCCATTTTCGAAAAGATTGCCAGACCAGTAACATTAATAATAAAAAGAAACAACTACATTCTTATTTTAAAAATTGACCACAGATAAAGTATTGCTTAAATAGATTGATTTAAAAAAGAGGTTTATAACTTATTTGGATTCGAAGTTTCTCGAATGCATCCACTGGGGATCTGACAATCTGTACCCATCAAAGCCAAGTATTACCTTCAGGTCTTAAGGTTTGAAGTACTGAGGGAACTCGTTGGAAATGGCTCTGACGAGAGCCTGGTCTTCACGGCTGCACTCTCCCTCCTCGCAGAAGATACGCGCGAAGCATCGAAGGAGGTCGTCACGACGGTGCACGTGCGCTCCATACTCTGTGTTGCGGATTATACCTTGAAGGATTCGTAGGTATTGCTGGCGTCGCTGTGAAAAGAATGTGGATTTTGTGTAAGTATAACGATAATACCACAATTTTGTTCCAATAGTAGCAAATAAAACTACAGAGAGTAAATCTACTATAACATTTACAAACATTAATTTTTTTAGCTTCCATGAGATGTATCAGAAGGTTCAGTAGGACTTTATTTTACGTTTAAAGTAATCTAATACTGTAGTCAGAATTTTAATTAGAATTCAGATTTGACAATAGCTACTGTCATTTTGTGAAATAATGATACCACATTTATTAGTGTAGTGATGGACACAAAAATCGATAAACAATCAGTGTGTGTGTTTTATAATAAATGTTACAGAAAGTAACAGGATAGCGATGACGGCGACAAATGATTACATTTTTTTATTTATTTCACGCACAATTATAAAAGAAAAGTCTCAGATCGTTAATTAATCGTCAAAACTAAATTATCGGTTCAAAAACATTTAATTTCCTGATATACTTAGTTTACGAGAGTAAAATTATAAACGAGAAGAATCGATCCAGAAATATTGCATTTCCATATCGAATAATTTCGCAACGTCACTATTTAGTACTTGTCATAACGTTGCAACACTGAAATTGTCAAATCTGGAATCGAATTAAAATTCCGAGTATAGTACGTATCGGTGCTCTGATTGGTCGGCTTCAATGAACCAACCAATCATAGCGGTAAACGCGGCCTCTGGTCATCAGAAGTCTAGTAAGATCATGTTACACACCAAGTCTCCTGGAGAGAGATCCGCTAGCTGCCTCACAATGATATCAATGGCAACCTTCACGTCATTCGTATAGAAGTGTTCAGCAGTCTTCTTACGACTGAACACGTCAATCATCAACTTTAATACAGAGTGCGCGGGCGCCGGTTCGTGATCGAAAATGTGGACTGGATCCTCTGAAATAATCAAGGCAATCGATAAAAGGAAGTTGGTAGGTTCAAATCAATTTCTGACTGAATTTGGTTTTATTGTTTTAATAATAATTATTGTTATCAACCACACTATTTGCGCATCTCATGAAATAAGTATTTTTGTCGCAGGTCACAAAATGTGTCATAAATATACTCATTATAAAAAAAGACGTTAAAGAAAACTCATTTGTCATACCTTCACGGTTAAGCAGCAAAAGAGCTTTCTCACAGAATGTCTTTGCTATTTCTCTGGTCTCCAAGGCATTGAGGAGGAGGTTATCAAACGACTCTTCAAACTGCAGGTTGTAAGCAAGTACAAGCGTAAGGAACAAGTCAGGAATCTGTTCATCCACATCTGTCTCCGGAGGGTTCTCTATCAACTCCAGTAGGAAGAGAGCGAAGTCTACGCCCAGTTGTTCTGAAAAAATATTAAGTAGTTAAAACATAATTTTTCTTGGTATAATTCTCTTCAACAAAAATATTTGAGGATTAGTTATGACTGCCTCGTTGGCCGAGTGGTCGCAAGTGCGACTGTCGGGCAAGGGGTCTCGGGTTCGATTCTCGGGTCGAGCAAAGTCGGGCAAAGCAAAAAAATCACAGTAGTAGCACGGAGTCTGGAAATGTGCCCGGTTTATGACAATAGGCTCACCCTCTATTACAAGGGACTCATAACATAAATAGAGAAACGTGAGCGTTACATTGTACAGTGGCATTAAGCGCCGTAATGGAATAAAAGGCGTGATGTTATGTTTATGTTATGATTAGTTATGTGTCCATTTTCTCTATATGTATTATTGGTTTTTCATGATTAAAGATAACGAGTCTTATTTCTAAGTACGAATCGATTTATCGATTTGTTATCAAGTAATACTTTCTGGAAACACAACTAAACATCAAGTGACGAAGTGTTACATTGTAATAAAAGTGACTAGTGGAGATAAAACGCATTTCCTTGTATCGTATTTTACTTAGTATGTTTCACTTAAATTAATGGATTCCGTATACTTACACAGCTGTTTACAATAATCCATTTCATTTGACGAGAGTCCTCGATTACTTTCAAGCAACGTCGAGGCCTCTAATTGATATGTAAGCTTCTAAATTTCTCAGACACTTACCAAAATGTGTGATAGGCAGTTTGTCCCCCATGGATAGTACCATGGACAATAGCAGTGCAGAATGTGAGAGACGGCTGACCGCGCGAGGGTTGTCTCTCATGTCTCGCGCTATCTCCGCCGGTAGGGCTGACAGAGCTAGGGTCGCGAGCGCCGTGCGTTCTAAGCCACACATTACACCAAATGCCTGAAAGTTATTCCATAATACATATAGCAAGGACACAAACTGTTTACTTTGTGTTCAGGATAGAAACTATTAATGGAATGTGTTCGATATGAGACTGATAGGAATAGGTTGGTTGTTGTCTTACAAGTTGAACAAGAACGATAGAGGTAGGTACATTCCATAAAATACTAAATGAGCTGAGAACTGATAGAGTGGGAATGTTATACAACTATATGGCTCGGATTCATTGATCTCTGCTTAATTTATACACTTATATGATAGGACTGACATACAACGTACGGTATAAAAGTCACCAAAATTTTAAAGGAAATAAAAAAGTAGGTATAACAACTGGTAATTTACATTTACAATAGTTTTATGAACAAGTTATAAATACAAATATTATAGTCAATATGGTCAATATGTTTATAGCTTTAAGGATAAAAATGTTTGCATGACATACGGTAGAATGTACCAGGAACAATAATTATATTTTTGTAAGACTTTATATTATATTATGTTGCAGCCATTCAATGCAAATAAATTATTGTATTCTACTTTATCGACCTTTATAGAGACGAATCAGTAGGTACCTAGGTAATATTTCTTAGTAACGGAATCACATTGTCAAAATATGACAAACCTATTCATGTAAAAAAGTATGGACCTTTCTTCTACATAAGGCCGTAAGCTGTGTTCTATAGTCTTACTTTTGTAGTGAACTGTAACGGGCTTTTTATTTTGACGCCCTACTAAAAATGTAAGTGCTCATCATTGGCTATATTACACCTACCTGAAGCAGAAGCTGTCGTAGCGGCCACCTGGTTTCCATTTGGTAGTACTGCACTAAAGTCGTCACATATGCGTACTTGTGGCTGCTCAGTACATGTTGAGAGATGTTCACGTCGGCGTTTGACTGTTAAAGAAAACATTTTAGTCAGGACTTAGATTATAGAAATACTAGCCTACCTACAACTTCGCAAGCATGGTCAAAGGAAAAAAGGCCCATCTTCAAGCATACAAATCATATCAATAAAACACTCAGTTGCGACATAAAAGACAAACAAAGAGAATTGTATTTATTTTAATACCAAAATGAAATGATAAAATGTAGAAGCCTTAATCCATTACAGATTACAGGTTTTAAATCTTCGTGGAATAGAAACTATAGTTATCTGCGTCTAAGTGTGGGAGCCATGCTTCGGCACGAACGGGCCGGCTCGACCGGAGTGATACCACGGCCTCACAGAAACAATACTAGTGTTGTGTTTCGTCGTGTGAATGAGGTTACCGGAGGCCCAATTACACCCCATAAAAAAATACAGTCTAAAAAAGATTATTCAAATGTTGTTCTACTTAATATTCTCCTGACTTGTAATTAATATTATACTGATAACTTACCATAACAGAAATAAGTTCTAACAACTGTGTCTGTATGTCATGTGCATCATCGTGTAGGGCCCAGCCTCTTTGTTGGGCATCATTGGCAGCCTTCGACAGCGCATTTAGAGCCGTCATCATCCGTAAAGCATCAGGGGCTGCATCAATAGCATTCTTCGGACATGTGATGTTACTGTTTGCTTCTCGGAGCAAAGCATCAATGATTGACCGTGCTGCTCCACCGGGTAGGAACTCCTGGAAATAAATATATATCTTTTATATAATTTTATTTTATTTTTATTTTATTAATGCTTCATGCACAAAGTGTACACAAGGTGGACTTAATGCCGCAGGCATTTTCTCCCATTTTACTAACCAGATTGTTATTCCTAGGAACATACAAGAAATTATATTATTTGTATCAGTTATTTTATGTTCTAAAAATGATAGTTTGGAGGTCTTAACTTTGGCCAATAATGGTTATGACCACCAAACTATTATTTCGCTACTAAACACAAGCTCAAGCAAGTTTGTGGCAATACATAACTCATATTGTAATTACTAATATACTTCAACATAAACCTAATCCTAGGTACCTACTCAAATAATATAATCCAGTTAATAAGTACCAACATATTTAAATAGCAAGTCCATCTTAACTAAAAATCGCGGGTTACTCACGTGGACATACAAACATAACATAATTTAGTATATCTCACAATAGTTACTATGAAAGGAAGTCTATCCTTCTGATTAATGACTAATCAGGAAAAATGGAAAACACTTAAACATACCATTTTTCAGAGGGTATGTAGTTACTTATTACATTCAAACCACAAAACTTAATAAAAATAACTTACTCTCAGTGATATGAGCACTGTTTCCACTGCCACTTTGGACATATCATGGCTAAGTTGTGTCTCTTTTCGCACAGCCTGGACTATTTCATAGATGGCATTTGGTTTTATGCTCTCGCTGCTATCCTGGCTGTCATCTTGGTTGTCTGTGTCTGAAGACACTTGGTTGGAGGATGTCTTACCCACCGCTGGTTTTTTACGGACTTCTTCATCCTCTGTAATAATGAAGAAACATAATAAATTGTTATGGATAGAAATTGCTTTAATATTACAAGATAAACACACACAAACAAAGCTAATAAATCAATATAATAAGGATGATGACAGGGTATAATAAGGATGAACATTAAAAATCTAATTAGTCTATGAAAAAATATTAGACACATATTTTTTTTATTTCGTTGTATAAGAAAACAATGGTTAAATAAAACAAATGAAAGTTATAAAAGTAATGTCATGCGATACTTAAAATCAAGATATTGTCAACAGTATTCCTGTCCGTAAGAAAATAATAAACATGTGCCTAATGTTTTAAAATAATCTACCAGATAACTATAATTAAAAATATTGATATCAAGGAAAATGAATATAAATTATGATTGGTTTAGCACATTATTGTGTGATTATAAGTTTACCTTGAGACAAATTATTATTAGGCTTGGTTGGTGATGGGGAGGATTCTCTGTCTTCACTGATGTGCTGCTGAGACACTACAGGTCTCAAGTCAAAACATGGCGACACACCATTAGGTGGAGTGCAGTCATCCAGCCTTGGTGGAGGTTTGGGGGCCGGTGCCTTCTTTCCATGTGGCTTTATACTTATCTGAATTTGTTTCTTCTTCTCATTTAGCTTAGCTAGTAATTCTTGCTTCTGCGCCATTGTGCCAGTCTCATTGATATTCTTCATACAATCGTTGAGGAATGCCAAATAGAATTCTGGCTCCACCTATGACAGATTTCAACCAAACACTGAGTTTAATGCCAGAGGTATGTGTGGTGATAATTGTCGTAATGAGTTTAGCCTATTACCTTGACTCCGGCGACGTAATTCGAGGGCACGAAACCAACTTGACCTTTTCTATTAACAACATGCCACCAGTTCCTCTGCTTCGCATTACTTTGTTGAAGGAAGAAAAACTCTCCTTCCGTGAAACTAAGAGTTTTGGCCAATGTTGCCTCGAAGTCATACAATGCTTTAAGCATTTCATTTTCCTCTGTAAAATTCGTATTTTTTTGTTATACCCACACCCAAATATTATATAGGTACTAATAAAATATAACAAGCCGAAACTTACCCAAAGGGCTCGCCTGGTCACCCATCATTTTAATAAATACTTCCACAAGAATATAAACAATATTACTGTTACATTTGTGTTCAATTTAACACATTTTTTATTTGTATCTCACAATTTCCACCTTTTAGTCTGAAATCAACACAACAAATCAATTTTTTTTGACAGTTAATTTGACAATCTGACCAAATGACATATTACTTTCGTAAATTCTAATTTCCCATATTTGGATATGAATAAATTGAGCCATGCACAAAACATAAATAGGAATTGAAAAAAATATTTTCAGTTTCAGTAGTTATTTTTCAGTGAGTGTTGTGTGTGAGGTGTGAGTGTTCTGGTTATCCTTTGCGAAGCATGGAGAATGGGATGAATGACCTACTATTGAAATTCTAGATCAAAAAATATGCTTTAAGTAGGTAGGTACATTTTGGTTTTTCTCGTACCTAATCGTAATTCATGAACCTCTATAAGTATCTAAATGCACAAAGATGTTGTTAATAAACGCTATCAATTCACAGACAAGAGTTTAAGGGTCAGGTCAAAAGATTATAATATTTACGACTTGATACCTCCATTAGTTAGGTACTTCCCTTTCTCCAATCAACAAAGTTTTAACATAAAATCCCCGATTCGCAGTATAAATACTCAGCGGTGGAAATGCACGTACTGTATTTTAGTCCCTACTGGGAAACTGTAACATACGTTATTAAAGTACAATGTTAAAACTGGCAATTGTATTTGCGGTTATATTCGCGTTATTCGCGGAAATAATATGTCATCCAACATACGAATCTCCTTATCATCGAGAGACACGCAGCCTTCGCACATCCACTGGTGCAAGAGGAGGCATCATTGGCCATAACCATTGGCCTACAAAGATCCAAAACCAACCCATCCTGGATACAATCGGCGCAATGCAAGAGATACTTTCAACCATCAACAGTTCCTGTTAGGCAGGCAGGACCCACAATCACGTGTCGCCAGGAGTGTGGAGCAATTCGGAGCTCTCGATAGCCAGGAGACACTGTCACGTGTCGCCAGGAGTGTGGAGCAATTTGGAGCTGCCAGTAAGGAACACCTCGATAGCCAGGAAGCACAGTCACGAGTCGCCAGGAGTGTGGAGCAATTTGGAGCTGCCAGTAAGGAGCACCTCGATAGCCAGGAAGCACTGTCACGCGTCGCCAGGAGTGTGGAGCAATTGGGAGCTGCCAGTAAGGAGCACCTCGATAGCCAGGAAGCACTGTCGCGAGTCGCAAGGAGTGTGGAGCAATTAGGAGCTCTCGATAGCCAGGAGACGCTGTCACGTGTCGCTAGGAGTGTGGAGCAATTTGGAGCTGCCAGTAAGGAACACCTCGATAGCCAGGAAGCACAGTCACGAGTCGCCAGAAGTGTGGAGCAAATTGGAGGTCTCGATAGCCAGGAGACACTGTCACGAGTCGCCAGGAGTGTGGAGCAAATTGGAGGTCTCGATAGCCAGGAGACACTGTCACGAGTCGCCAGGAGTGTGGAGCAAATTGGAGGTCTCGATAGCCAGGAGACACTGTCACGAGTCGCCAGGAGTGTGGAGCAATTTGGAGCTGCCAGTAAGGAACACCTCGATAGCCAGGAAGCAATGTCACGAGTCGCAAGGAGTGTGGAGCAATTCGCAGCTCTCGATAGCCAGGAGACGCTGTCACGTGTCGCTAGGAGTGTGGAGCAATTTGGAGCTGCGAGTAAGGAACACCTCGATAGCCAGGAAGCACTGTCACGAGTCGCAAGGAGTGTGGAGCAATTCGGAGCTCTCGATAGCCAGGAGACACAATCACGAGTCGCCAGGAGTGTGGAGCAATTCGGAGCTCTCGATAGCCAGGAGACGCTGTCACGTGTCGCCAGGAGTGTGGAGCAATTCGGAGCTCTCGATAGCCAGGAGACACAGTCACGAGTCGCCAGGAGTGTGGAGGAATTTGGAGCTGCCAGTAAGGAGCACCTCGATAGCCAGGAAGCACTGTCGCGAGTCGCAAGGAGTGTGGAGCAATTAGGAGCTCTCGATAGCCAGGAGACGCTGTCACGTGTCGCCAGGAGTGTGGAGCAATTCGGAGCTACCTAATTACTAGGTACAGCATGCTAAAGTTTACTAGCTTCCAATTTTCTAAAATATTGGATATTATTGGTATACAAATATCATTCGATAATAATAACTACTATAACCATACTGTAGAAAAATAAATTGGTATTTTCTTATGTCTTGTTTTTAATATCTTGTGTGTGTGTGTGTGTGTGTGTGGTGATGGTAATTCTTGCGACAAAACTATGTGGTAGTCCGTAGTCTGTTTGTGCTACCTATTGCAATTACTCTTGTTTCAATTAAATACTTACCAAGGTAGATAGAGTCGTTAGCGTTAGAGAATGTCTATTCTATTTTTACCTCATTAAACAACCGCGAGCGACAGACATCATCAGCACCAATAGCCTAGGGGATAATATACCTGGGCACCTACAGGGTACTGGGGCTGCGAACAACCTTGCAGGTTCCGGGACTGGAAGAAACGGGACAGTTTTTACTCAGTACCTAAAAATTATGTTAAATGATTGATTTAGCATAATTTTTAAAGTCCTGAATATGATGTCATTGGACTTCAGGTTTGATAAGTTCGGTTAATGCGGGCATAAAACTTAGGACTAGTAGGTAGCTACCGTCACACGACACTGTCAAACGAAATCTTGATACTTTTGTTTGTGGAGAGGTTACGAAGGACGGGCTGTCCTTGAGAGTCATCTTCAGCCACACCAACTCAAGTGGCATCGAGATGGAGGCACTCGGAATCCGAAGCTTTGTTTTATTTTTAGCACAGTTTTTATCACATTATGATGTGTGGAAACGATGTTCTAGAAAATCGTTCTGTACAATATTTTTGGACACAAATAGGTTAACTCGACCGGAGTGATACAAGGACCTCATAGAAAACCTGCGTGAAACAACGTTTGCGTTTTATTTCAAAGTTAAAGTCAAAGCATTTATTTCAATTATGCCATATTTTGGTACTTTTGAAACGTCAACAAATCCTTACTTTATTTTATATTATAAATCGGAAGATGAGTTTGTTTGTTTGTTCCGCTTTCACGCCGTAACTACTAAAACGATTGCTTTGAATTTTTGCAGATGTAAAGTCTGGATTGAATAATAGGGTACTTTTTATCCCGGAAAAATTTGATATTCCTGAGGGAAAACGCAATTATTGGTATAGATGGCGCTGTGTGTATTGGTAAATGTCACATAGGCTACTTTTTATCCTTTTGTGACGCGAGCGAAGCCGCGGGTAAAAGCTAGTACAAAATAAATAATAGTCTGTCAGTCAGTCCGTCAGCGAAGCTAGGTGAAGCTAGGTGCTCATTCCAAAATTTCACCGCGTACGGTGGTATTTTTATGTTCAGTAGGTCCCAATACATTACTCTATCCTTTGTATTAGTATAATGACCTCAATATCATTTCATACATTTGCGGATTTTTACGCGACCGGTCATGTTCTAGCGGTATCGAGTTGAGATCTTGGTCTGTGTCCCTTTGAATTATTCATGAGGGTTAAACGGACAAGACCCTCGCACAAGAATAGCATAAACTTGCAAATATTGTTGATAACAATGACTTCGAGATAGCATTGAGATCTTTATTTCTAGTTACCTATTAAGAATTTGGAATGAATTGAGAAACGTACCAAACAATGTACTAGTCGGTAATGTTTTTCGTCACAAATAATCAAAAATAATAAATGAGCATGTAGGTACTAGAAATAACTTAGGGTTTATCTATGTAATGAGAACGCTGTCTATATCTATAAATTCAGTGTGTACAAATACAAAATATTTATCCAAAATGAACCTAATACCGCTAGCTGGACGGTCGTCCTCCTGATCACTCCATAATGGAGGGAATCTTATCTCAACCTATTAATTAATAAGTATCGAGATTAATTTTTTTTTCTAAGGGGGGAAAATCATCGAATGACTGCTCCCGCCTGGGTGAGGCGGAAGGGAGTGTCAGACTCTTACTGACTAAAAACCACCCCGTTCCTTCTCCTGCACGTCGAGCCGGAGCCCCGGTTACCCGTTAGGTTCTCCGCGACTCCGAAGATTAAAATTATTTAACATTCCATTAAATCAAAGATTAAAGTTCAATGTAAACAAGAGATAATATTTTATAGATAGGCATATTCTCATGTACAGTGGCTAGCAGATTAACCGTCTACAATCAGTCTTTATTCGTTGGATTTTCGACTTTATGCCAATATAATTAAGATGAAGATGTAATAGATTGACAGAAAAGGATAGTTTGACTTGCCGGTCACCGTACTATTCCTTTCAGTTGTTATTCCCTGCAGGGTCAGATTCTCTTTGATCCAGATCAACGTTATCATTTAACAGAAATACAATTTGATCCGACGCTTAATATTCTTCTTAAATGAGATTTTTTTTTTAAATATTTATCGGACACAAATAATGAGGACTTGGAATTTAATACTTGGAGTAAGTAGACACAGTTTGTCAGTTTACAAATCACTTGTCTCAATTTACACCATCGCGGAAAGGAATGGAAGCGACCTTTTGCCACGAAACTGCACATAACACTTTGGTTCAGTACAGAAACAGTAACCATTGGTTGACTAAACCGACTAATAATACAGAATATCATCAACAGCCTATAAGTAAATGCCCACAGCTAAGCAAAGCCTCTTTACACACGGAGAAGGTTTGAGCATTAATCACCACGCTTGCTCAATGCGGGTTGACGATTACAAACTTATAGATAATTAGAAATTATAAGCCCAGGTTTCCTCACAATGTTTTCCTTCACCGTTTGTCAGTGGTGTCGAGATAATCTTAGAAAGTACGTACATGTAACTCGGAAAAAATCACATTGATACTTGCCGTTGGTAGGTTTGGAACCCGCACCCCTCGTCTTAAATCTCCGCGCGTCTTAAACCTCCGGGCCACCACCAGAGTATGAATATACTTAATTTAGTATAATTATGGTTACGTACGAGTTTGAAGACA